TAGCGTTCCAACCCCTAGGATCATCTTCGGTAGCTTTGGAGACTTACTTTCTTTCTTTCTTTAGGTGTTTTTATAAGGTGGGAAATCGATTGTTAACTTTTCAAATCAACTTAATCTAAATAGAAAATATTCAAAATAGGAGTTAACTTGGTAAGATTTCTAAATACCTTGATCAGTTAAATTTGAAAGTTAGATGAATCAACCCTGCTTGTAACAACAATTGTAACAATAGAAACAGAAATGACAGTACAATAGTACAGGTGAACCTTACTATATGCTGTACCAGTGCACATCATTTCACATATATGTCAATAATTAATAGCAAATTAATAAAAATAAAAATAAAATAATTATAATAACCATAAATAAATACAAAACGAACAAAATAAATCAAAGAGTGGCGATATATGCATTATGTTTGTTGTGTTGTCCAAGTTAGTGAAACAGTTGAGACCTGCAATTGTGTAAATGAGGCAGAAATTTAGATCAGCAGCCTGGGACTTGGTCACAATTTTCGTGATGCCATATGGTAGCATGGTAGCAGGGTCTACCATTAGACAACACATAATGTTTCCAAAACCTTCCCAGGTGGTAGTACCTCCCTGTTTGGTAGCTGCTTACTACCTACTACTACTACAGGTTGTACCTCTCTAGTCCGGTATTCTGTGGTCCAGAAACTCCCGTGGTCCGGAACGATTTTAGTTTGTCCAATAGGCAGTTTTTTTTTTTTTTTACAGTCGACCCTTGTTAATTCGGACCCCTTAATCCGGATTTCGGATAATTCGGACAAAATCTGAACAATTTTTTTTTTTTTTTTTTTAGATTTGTAGGAATATTACCTACGCGGACCTTAAGTTAAAATGCTGGTGCATGATGGGAAGGGTGAGGAGCAGCTTATAGCTTCAGACATGAAAAATATTTACTATTTACTGCCAGTAAACAATGGAAACATAAAATATGTACCAATTAGTAATGAAAAGTTGTGCAGTTCCTTCAACAAATGAAGCTCACCAACTTATAATAGGCTAAATTACCTTACAACGTGTTTTCATTAGTCTTATTTGAAGTTCTTAGCACAGGCTAACTTATCATATCATATATGGTATCACAGTTCTCATTGATCTACAAAAATACGGTAATAAAAACCTTTTGATATTTCACACTTAGTATAATACCTGGTAATCTACTTCAACCTCCTATTGTTTACAACGACATGACAGCACCACCAGCTGTTGAGTATCAGCTACACGTACACGTGTTTTCGAATTGTTTTCAGTTAAAACTGTTACATCACATGTATATTTTACCTTAACTGTGCCTGAATGAATATATTCTCGAAATAAATACAGTGGTGCTATAAATCTAACGGATCCTACTACGGATTATTCCTATAATGAACGGTTTTACCTATAAAATTGAGAATGCTATAACGATGCAACTCCTACAACTAACGCGATGAATACCGGACTATTTCGCCTGGCGCATGAATATTGTTGTACCGCCCCACAACAAGAGCCGCCAGGCGATCTTTGTCTCATTGTGTAGCCAGTGCACCACTGTTATTGTTAAATTTCGTCTTTTTCTGTGGAAATTTATGTTATTTGTATAACTATTTTGTTATACAAGTATACAATTGTAACAATGAGTCGTCCAAAGCAACTGAGAAAGCTAATAACCCTTGAAACTAAGAAAGAAATTATAAAGAAACGTGAGAATGGAAGAAGATTGCGAAACTTAGTGATGAATATGGGATGGCTAAATCCGATTATATGTACGATTTTGAAGAATAAAGAGGAGTTAAAAACTGTGCAAGTGGCTAGGGAATCTTTAGACTTAGCAAAGCAAGGTGTAATGTGATTGAAGAGATGGAAAATTTACTCTTAGTGTGGATAGGAGCAGGTGGTACATTAGTGAAGCTATAATTTGGAGAAGGTTAAACAATTGTTTGAGGACTTTAAAGCCAAGACTCCAGTGGAAGTGATAGTGCTGTGCCAGTGTTTAGGGTACCTGCATGCTGAATAACACTAAGGTAAGATAAAGTACCGTATTTTTACATTTTCCACAGAATTTTTCAGTGTTAAGCGTTGTATTTGGGGGCCTGAAACGATTAATCCTATATTTAATGAATGCTAACGAAGGTGTTCTGGAACCAATTACGTTCGTTATAGCATACCCCACTGTAGTAGTTTTGCTGAAACGTGATGTATTTTAATGTGAAATAGATAAAATACATGACTAAAAACAAAAGATTTTACCTAACCTTCCGATGTTCAAGAGAAGTTACTTGTTTTTTAATAGTTTTTGGTTAAAATACTGTTATATTACAATGGTATTCTATCATACTGCGCGATATAATGCATTCACGAAATGTAATATTTTTGCTGAAATTACATAATGACAGTGGAAAGTGCGATAAAATCGTGATTTAAAACAATGACTTTCGCTTTCTTCTCGCTCAAAAGATGTTACCGTAATCGCTGATTGGTTTTCAGTTAAAAACCGTTGTATTACAATAATATTCTATCCTAATTGACTTGAATAAATACCACTTATACCATATTTCTGAATATTTTCTTTAAAACTCTTTCTAAATCATTTTCCTTGTCATCATCTGCAGCACCAAACAGCTTTCTCCCAGTCCTCTCCTTGAACAGGGCTAGAGGGTACGTGTTTTCGAATCATTTTCAGTTAAAAATTGTTACATCACATGTATATTTTACCTAAACTGTGCCTGAATGAATATATTCTCGAAATAAATAGTAGTTTTGTTGAAACATGATGTATTTCAATGTAAATAGGATAAAATACATGACTAAAACAAAAGACTTTTACCTATGCTTCTGATGTTCTTGAGATGTTATTCGTTTTTTACTAGTTTTCGGGTTAAAATACTGTTATATTACAATGATATTCTATTCATACTGTGCTTGATATAATACATTCACGGAAATGTATATTTTTTTGCTGAAATGACATACGTATTGCAGTAAAGTGATAAAATCGTGACAAAAACAATGACTTTGAAATATAATGCAATATTAGCCCCTAAATCAGTTAATTCGACAATCGCAAAACGACACCCTTCCCTATTAGTCCTAATTAACGAGGGTCGACTGTACTTATCTGAATTATTATTATTATTACAGGAGTATTAAATTTTTGCCCTCAGGCCCCAAGTGGGTCGTGTGACCTATGCCCGGTGGGCTAATCCCTCAGAAAAAAAAAACAAAGCCGTAAATTAAGGTTTGTTTACATCCGCAGTTCAGCTGCTCTCTCTCTCTCTGCTTGTCTATACAGAGTACAACATTTAACCCTTCAATATATATGAGCAGTAAATAAGTGTTGCTTTATATTCTTATGTAGAGTAATGACGATAAGTTTTCACATGTGCGCACTTACATACGCCAAGAGTCTCACTTTTTTACCATTAATGGTTAGCTACTTATATTGTTCCATTTATTAACATTAAATAACATTACAGGTACTTCAAACAACCATGTTAATTTTTTTTTACATTAATTTACATTAATATGTAGAACCAATCGGTCACTGGTTTTGTAAGCTTTTAACATAAACAATGCCGCAGCCATCTCGGCTCTCGTGTAAATATTCCATGTATTATTAATAAATTGAATTGTTAATTTTACACAACAAACATTAATTAATAAAACAAATTCAGAAACATTAATTAAAATATATATGAACAGTAAGTAAGTGTTGCTTTCATATTCTTATGTAAAGTAATGACAATATGTTTTCACGATAAAGACTTACATACGTGGATCTCTCTTCTTTCTTTACCATTATCAAGCTACTTTATTGTTCCATTATTAACATTAAATAACATTACTTAAAACATATATTAATTTTACTACAGCTACAACCAAGTTCTATTTTCTTCAGTTTTATATGTAGAACCAGTCAGTCACTGGTTTTGTAATCAATGAAAACAATGCTGTGTCATTTCCTCGTTGTTTTAATATTCTCGTATTATTAATGAATTGTATTGCTCATTTTGCACAAACATTAATTCACTAAAAGACATTCAGTAATAACAATAATGAATCTTTTGTACATAAGAAATAGCGCTGTTTACCGATTATGCACGTCGTCTACGTTGGCGGACCGTTCAAACCGTCGAAATTCAAGTTCGCCGTCAAAATATATATTTTTATTTTTTGTGTTCAATAAAATACATTGAATTAAAAACTCATAAATTTGAGAAGCTGCTACTCATCATTTAACCCTCTAATATGTCTTCAAAGAGACCATGATGCAGAAAGTGGTGCTAGTGCTTCCAAGCATAAGCACAAGTCACTATCTATCCAGGAAAAGGGTGAATTTCCATGGTCGGCACGGTCAGGTCCCGAGGTTGCGGACTAGAGAGGTACAACCTGTACTACTAATCCGGGCATTAGGAACCTTGAGTACAGAGACAGGTTAAAGCATCTTAATTGCACTCCTTCACATCAAGGCATGGCTAATCGTAAAAAAATATATAAATAAAATTAATGTTCATTGGAAAAATAGCTTTGCAAAAACAGCCTTCCTCAATTAGTCCAATTTGAGGTTCTACTGAATAAGTTACAGGCAACAAACAAAAAATGCTCTGACTACAAATTTATAATAAATTTATTTTTTACAAGCAGCATGGGACCAAATTCATTTCACAAAAGGTTTTACCATAAAACTTACAATAACAACATTTATCAATTCTTTTAGGAAGAAGTCACTTTTAAATTTACAGGTTAACAAATTCGCGTTACTCATCTGTCACTATTATTTTGTAAAATTAGTATTTCTGGTAAGATTCAGAATTTTAGTGTAGCTGAATAAGTGACAGGCCACATCATTACTGATCTGACAGTGGTCATAGATGACAAATCATTCTTTACAACAAATAATACTGCAAACCTGCTGTTGTTTTGTAGTAGTTAATGATGTCCTGATCAGCTGGGCAGGACTGGATGAAACATCCAATTGATACATATGGAACATGTGCATGAAGTTTCCAGCTCTCAGGATCTCAAAGTCAGCAAAGTATTACCTAAAACAAAATAACACCACATTCAGTATCAAAATCATGTGGATACATCCAAGATACATCATGAATTACTGCATTTTATGGCACTTAAGATGTAATTTTGTGAAAAATAGCTAAAAAAATCTGCCTGCCCCTATGTAATTGAGTTCATAGCTAATGAATCCCATAGGCTAAATTCTGTATTACATTATTATTATTTTAATTAATTAAAATTAAATATTGAAAATATAAAAGCTTGATTATAACTTCATGTACTGAACTAATACTGTAATGTAACCTTAAATGATTATGTAAGTAAGGTAGACACCAACTCCTCAGAGGTTGTTAAGCAGTAGCTATTTCTGAATTCTTACATGCATTACAAACTACTACAGTAATACCATAGCTGCAACATTTATTTTAAATCTGCAAATACCAGATCCACATGGTTACAGATAACTTTTCTTTTCACATTTGCATCTGTTAACATTGCTGGCAGCATTGCAGCTAGGTTAGACTAGTCACTGTAACCACCAGTTACATGCACACACCATCTTACATACATATTGTAAAAACAGTAAGAAACAATTGTCCTATGGGCAAACACAAGGAATATATATTTCTTTGCACAAGTTAACTTGCTCAGTGGAGTGGGAGGAGGGGCGTGTGAGGTGTTGCTAGGAATCAGCGGAGTAGCATCTCTGTTGCTATGGTGAACCGGGAATATAAGCAAATGGCTGTGTTAAACATTCATTTGGCTTTTACTCACAGAAAAGTTGCCAAAAATAGAGTCAATTCCAATTATAATAGCTCAATTTGATTATCCTTTCTAGAAGAAATTAGAAATAACTTAATCCTTGTGATTGATCATTTAGAAAAAGAATCATAGTCATGAGAAAGGTAAATTAGAGAAGGATAAGGAAAAAAATTAAAAAATATCCTGGCCCATGAAAGAAACAAAATACTGGTGTCCTGTGACTTACAGCGAGTTCGTTCCTGAGGCTTGTTTGTAAGTCAATTGTTTGCAAGTCAACTTTACTCTTGTAGATACCAAACATATTGTAAAAATTAAAAGGATTATGGATATTTAGTACCTCTTGCTTTATATAGCCCTGTGATGATGTTTTGTTCTGAAAGTTTGGAAGTTGAACATTCTTAAGTAGAAGCACCTGAAATTCAAATGGGCCCGGAGAAATAAGACAGTGAGGCAGGTGCTGAGCCTTCTAGTTCGATTCTGATATCAGGTGCGTGTTCTGTGATGGGGGACATTTGTCAACTAAATGCAGTAAATACCAAGGCAGTCACGTAGGATTAGGCATAGAAGAAGGCTGATGTGGAAATGTAGCTGCAGATTTAAAACTGAAGACTGTAAATATAAATTACATAAAAGTCCTATTTGCAAGGCATCCATCATTCTTATTTTGTGATTCAGAACAAAATGTCTGTTCAGTGAGTCCAAGTTCTGGCAGCAAAGTTTCCCTGCACTACTTACAAGTAACTTATAGTTGTCAAGAGTAAAAGTAAATCCTCAGTTAGGACTCTGTACAATCAAGGATCTGAAAACCTTTACCTAAGAGGTTAGCAGTGGAACTAAAATTAAATCCTTGGCAAATTAGATTTGAAGATATCTGGATTTACTATGAGTATTAGGGGCAGTGAAATTTTGCTCAAAGCTGCACTCTTCAGGCATGGTTCATATACATATCTAAGACTCCATGCCAAATTTGAAGCTGATATGTCGAGGTTTAGTCTGCATTTTCTACTGAAATTTTAAATTTACCTACAGTACTAGCCAAACAGCAGCTGTGGCAGTGCAATGTTCTGTTCAGTGTTTATCAACTTTTTTTTCATATCTCTTATTTCATTTAAGTTGTCTTGTTGCAGATGAGTATGGTGCTATGTCTATATTGATTATCAGCCTTTTCTCATTTCATTTCTCAATGTTGTGTTACTGTACTGTAATGTAGGAAGACCGCCACTCGGTGTGATGATAAGAATGAAAGACCGAGAAATGGAGTTAGGGATGATGGTGAAAGATCATTATGTCATCATGGTTGAGCCTGGCAATGAATATCTCACACATGTGACTCCCAAGACTGGACACGGAAAGCAGATGCCAAAAACTATTCACGAGTTTCTGGTGGAAAAAATCTAACCCAGCAGCCCATTGTGTGTGTTGGTTGTGATGGAACCAATGTAAATGTAGGATCAGAAAATGGGTCATTCATCATCTTGAAATGTTATTTGGTCACCCGCTCCATTATTTCATATGTCAGCTTCACGGAAATGAGCTGCCTTTCCATGCAGTTTTTATCACTATGATGGTAAACCAAGTGGTCCTGAGCATTGGCGTGGTCCCATTGGAAAGCAGATCAAGGAGTCTTTGGCTGAGCTTCCAGTTATCGCCTTCCAGCCAGTCAGTTTCCTGATTTCCCTGTGTTTAATGATGAAGTGGAGAAAGATCTGTCCTGGGATCAGAAATACCTGTATAGGATTTGTAAAGGAGTTATCACAGGTGTTGTTGAAGATGACTTGGCTGCTATTGAGCCAGGTCCTCCTGTGTGTCAGGTGTGGAACACCTTATGGAGTAGAATCCTCAGGCTGTATGTAGCAACATCAAGACCCAGCCATGAGTTGAAAAGAATTGTCATTACAATAATAAAGTTCAGTGCTCCAATGTGGTTTTACATCAAGATACACCCTTCGTAACACGGCTCAAGGAGCGTATTCCAGTCCCTGCTATATGTGTAACACCTAAATAGTGAGGAGAACGATAGTGAAGAAGGCTGTCAGAGAAATGCATACTTAGCCCACACAGATCAACTTCTTCTTGGTATGTGTGCAGATGAGGTATGACTGTTAGAGAAAAAGCTGTCTCAATGATAAGAAAAATTAGAGAGGAGAATCACCAAAAGGAAGAATGCACTGGCAGATCTGAAGAGGAGGAGGAAGATCCTGATGCTGCTGTTGGCGAGAATTTGTTAAACTATACTAATGAGGAGGGTAAAGATGGAGATGGGAATGAGGATGTGCCTCCTGTAGTCAACATGGAAGGTGGACTCTGAAACTAAAGTGGCAAGCAAAAACTATCATTCCATGATTAACTGGAGGAATGAACTCAAGACTGAGCCTCCTTACATTGCTTCTCTGTCAAATTTACAGGTTAATGACATTCTTGAGACACCATTAGTGGTGTCCAAGTGGCCAAACAGCACTCAGGCGGTCGAGAAGGCATAAAAGTGATGACTGAAGCACTGAAGTGACGGGATCTGGTCGAGATGGATATATTAGGCAAAGATTATTGTCTAGGAAAATGATGCAGGTTCCGCACAAAAAAGAATTTCAATATGAACTTGTAATGATTTTCTATACGGTGTACCTGTAAAATAACATGTGAATTAAATTGATGTCACCCATGTAAAATTTATCATTATCCTGGAAAACATTAAATGACACCTAATTTTTGGTATACTGTACACTAAAAGTTGACCAAAAAGTCGTTAAGCGATGCGGCAGGGTAAGTATGCATGAAATGGCATGAAATTTTGCACAGTGTTAGTTACAGCCATACAACGATGCCTGAAAAGTGCAGCCTGCAACTCAAATAAAGTGTTTTCTCCCTAGCCAGGTATACAGTGGTACCCCACTTAACGCGGTCAATTGAACCCAGAGGGTCCCACGTTAAGTGAAAACCGCATTAAGTGAATAACAGAACATATGGGATTAATTCCAATAGAACCCAGCCCGACCCCCAAACTCCATTTTTTGACGACAAATAACTATGTTGTAGTAAAAATAACATCTTAATTTTATGATGGTACATGCACACAATTAATACTTAAGAGAAATACAGTCGCCAAGTTAATGTCCATTCAAATAATGGACTCAACTCCCTCCCCTCTCACACTACAGTACACAGCCAGCTAACAGATGGTCGGTCGGTCGGTCCCTCCCTCCCCCCCCCCACCCCCCACCAACCGTCCCAAGGAGATGTGTGGGATAACCTCAAACTAAAGTTAGGAAAATATAATTGACATTGCTGGATTCCTTGTAAGACCAGGAATATTTTGAATATAAATGTCATATATTTTTCACAAAAGATAACATACTTACTCAGATTAAACATTTTATCTAAAAATTGTATGTTTAATGCAAAAAATATGTTGTTTATATTCAAAATGATCACCAAATTATAAGAATTCCAGCAATGTAAATTATATTCTGGCCGGATAATTTGTATGAATTTTATGAGCTAAAACAAATATGTACAGTTAATAACAAAAAAAATATATTCTTCAACACTATCTGTCAATCAAAGTACCCCACCTTGCCTCCCCCCCTCTTCCAACCGCGCGGTCAGTCCCAACCCTCCCCCCCACCCCCCACCAATCCTCCATTCAAGAGTTTTTAACATTTAGTAATAAATAATACCTCAGATTAAAGTTAGGATAATATAATTGACATTGCTGGATTCCTTGTAAGACCAGGAATATTTTGAATATAAATGTCATATATTTTGGACAAAAGATAACATACTTACTCAGATTAAACATTTTATCTAAAAATTGTATGTTTAATGCAAAAAATATATTGTTTATATTCAAAATGATCACCAAATTATAAGAATTCCAGCAATGTAAACTATATTCTGGCTGGGTAATTTGTATGAATTTTATGAGCTAAAACAGGCAGTCAGGCAGGGTGGGGGGTGGTGCGAATCTAAAAATAGCTCTCGAGCGGACACTCACCGCGTTGCTGTGGAAAAATCCGTTAAGTGAAAGTTCAGCTTTGGCAAGGCACCGCGTATATGCGAAAACGCGTTAAGTGAAAGCGCGTTAAGCGAATATCTGTGAATCTCAATCTTATGATTTAGTGAAATTTACTGTAAAGGTGGCTTGAAGTATGTTAGATTGAGTGCTCTGATGCTAGACAATCTTCCTAAAGATACAGAATGGATGGACTTGAGGAATGCCTTGAATATGTGAAGGACAATAAAATCAAGGTATCTGACCTAACCTAAAGAA